CAAGGAAGATGAAAAAGTTATCACCTGATGGCCTCTACTTCCTCTGTAAGGCAGAAGGTGACGCCAAGGGACTGAAGGGCAGGGGCCTGGAGGTTTGAGGTGAGTAGAAAAGGTTGGAGAGGTCATTGTAGACTGAGACCTATATTGATCTCTGATTGCATTTCACTCAAATCGTCCTCTAACATATGTCAAGTGCTTACCCTTGTAATTTCTCCACATTTTCAAATTACCAAACAAAACAGGTGAAATCTCTACATTCCAGTCCCTCTTCCAAATTACTCTTCTTACAGATATTTACCCTAAGTAAGCCTATCTAGAAATGTGTGGCTTCCCTGTTTTGCCTTTTCTTTCCGTCTTTTTATGAGGAGGATGTTTCAGTCTTCTCTTGAGCATTGTAATTTTCTCCAGAGCATTTATGCCTTCCTCAAAATTCTTCTTTCTAGATCCTTCTTCTATGGCAGGAAATGACACCAATCTATCAGTGGCATCCCCTAGCCCTCTTCATACTACAGTCATCTTCACCCCTTCTTTCACAGTTAGATTTGGGTGTATTATTAGCTTTGTAATTTGGGCATAACACTGACTTGGTATGATTGATTTGAAATATAAATGTCAATGCAATATTATCATACCTATTGGTAGAATCCTTAGCAGTTAAGGCAGTACATTTTCGAAGCATGTGATTAATGTTTTCACGTTTTTACAAGGCACTTGAAATCAGCATCACCAAATTTTCCATAATTATACATTTGTAAGAAGTGAAGGATCAGCACACAACATTTCCACTTAGTAAATACACAGTATGTTTTGCTTTAGCTATAAATTACACTCAAGTTCTATTGTTGCTTTTTTGTCAAGCTAAAGTGAATCCACCCATGTGAGATCCTAATACTTTAAGTTATAACTAGTCAAGAAACTAGGTATGAAGAAAAGCCAAGTAAGTAGATGGTAGCAATGTCTGAAACACTCAGAAAAAATATAGACGTTCATGAGCCAAGGCATCATCTATAAACAAAATATGGGATAAAACTACATAACTTAATGCTGTTTAGGGTCTTTTATTAAAATTTTAGGGCAATTAAATGTTAACAACAAACAGTAATCACAGTATATGACTGAGAGAAGATATAATATCTTTAAAAAATGACAATCTGCCTTCCTACTTTACTGTTGTTTATCCTATAGCCTGCAATCTGTATCCAATGCCAACTATATGCTCATGTTTTCTATATATGTTTTCTTATCCCTTTAAGTAATGATTTTGTGTTATAAAACCTTTACCTTGTAATGCAATTTTCTTATTTGATTTCCTTTAAAGCCATGTAAGATCTGTGCAGAATGTATTCAGGGAAAAAAAATAAAAAAAAAAACCATGTAAGAGTCAAATACAAATAAGATAGATCCCTTAATAGGCATTGTTTAGGGAAAAAAAGAGATAATGGGAAAAGACTTTCTGTGTAAAATCAAAAATGATCTTCTGTAGTGTATTTCACTGCTTTACAAGTGTGGCAAGAATAATAAGTCTTGGCAGTTGGAACATGCTCTTCACCTGAGAGTTGTCAATCATTCTCATTTTGACAGACACCAAATTCATGAATTTCAACACGTTTTTTTAGGCGAGAAACAAGTAGTCATCAAGAGAAAAATGTTAAAATGCTCAAATAAATTGGAAATCAGAATGCTGCATGGTCATCTATCCTAAGAACATATTACGTATAATCTATAGTTCACAGATTGTAAAAATTGTAATACATGAGATATGACACACTGAATAGCTACTACTGTGCTTTTCACATGGAATGCAGTCTGGAGATCAATGGCTTGAGTTCTTATCTGCATTCCATATAAAGTAAATTATTTGTCGTGGAGCATCCCCCATAAATACAACTATCCAATGCGGAAACTGCTGACAGCCTCGTAGGCTATTTCAGTAGTGGAAGCCAGGACGAAACACACTGAACTACATTAGAGTTGGTCCCTGGAGGACAGAATTGAGCTTCATTGGCAAGGGCACTGCATGAGTTCCATTTGACTCCTCATTAAACCTCTCCCAGGGATTCTAGCTACTTCTCTACAGCTGCTATTGCTTCTCTTTCTATAGAAGAGATAGATGTGATAAATTTTTACATATTTAGGAAAAGATTGCTTTTCCTCATTAAAAAAAAAAAACAAGCCTCTTACAAATTTAAAAAAGACCTTCCAGTTTCTTGATCATGAACCCCCTTATTATTATTTCAAAGGAAGTACAGATCTTTATTTTGATTTGTGAGAATTTATTTTTAAATGCTTGTCTTTCAGCATGTAAGAGATTCTGGGTTTTTTTTCCCCATATTTATCTTTCTCCAGAAAAAGCAGCATTAGGGGAAAATAGTTGGTGATAATGATCTCCGACTTCTTTGCCTAACAGTATTGTTGTGATAATGAAATTGGAACATGTATGTTGAAGTAATTGGTGAAACATAAATTACTATATGCATTATATGTTGCCTCTGACTGCTCTTGTTGATTTGGAGTCTTGAAAATAGCATAATAAGATTTACTGTACTTTGGCAGTATTGCATTGAAAAACTAGTCAATATTTCAAACACACACACACACACACACACACACACACACACACGACATTCTCTGTAAATTAAAAACCCCATGCTGCTGATTTTACAGCATTCATATTCTTCATGGGTGTCTCTTCTAGGAAAATTCATCAGACTCGTATGTTTTAAGTGCAATAAAAAGAAATGAAACTATTTTGTCCAGCAATATCTATGTAAAATACTCTTATCTAGAGAAGAAATTTTCTATGATTGTAAACAATAACTTTAGTCTTCAGGCCATCTAATCACAGCATTACTAATAAAATATCAGTAATGCTAATTACTAACGCTTTACTGGGTAACGCTTTACTACTTACTGGTTACTGTTATTGTTCCTTCAAAGTGGTTCATATGTATATATACGAGGGCAGAAAGAGCTAAGCAAATTGTGATATAAGTGACTAAGAAAAAAACAGAAAGATAGGAAAAATATGGTTATTTAAAAGTATGCATCATTGTGGACCTTCTTTTTGTATTTCCAAGTTTAATGTATGATCAGAATTGCTTTCTAATGCCCTACATACACCAGGAAAGCCTAAATCCATGTATATACATGACACGTGCACACATACACCCAATGAATATCCTCCTATAGAGGCACAATTCACAACACAGACACACACATACTTGAAAACCAAACTCTACTCAAAAGACGAATTGTTGGCATCATGTGAGAGTGATTTTGCCACTGGCCTCCACACATCCTAAATTCTAGAGATTAGATCACGTTATAGTCGCTTCTGGGGGTGGGTGGGCACAGCATGCTTTTTCAGGAGCTTCAAAATAAAGGAAAATAGTTCAAAGCAAAACCCTATAAGTGTAGTCCCAAGGATAAAATTTTCAGATAGTCCACGAGTCTGACCCAGAGGGAGGGAGTGCAGCTAACATTTTCCCAAGAGAAAGGAAAGATCCAGGCCAAAAAAGGTGGTCATGGGGGCACTCGAGTGAGCTTGTGAGGAGGAAGGAGGTGAAAACAAAAGAAGCCTCTAATAGAAGATACCAAAGATAATATTCTCACATAAATTCAGAACATCATTTTATATTTTATGCATATGAATATTTAGTACATATATACCCATGAAAATCCACTCAATCTAAAACTTTCTCAGACACATACACATACAACCAAATGATTAGTGTTTGGCCACTGCTGGTAGACTGAGAGGCTGAATAAACATAGCCCTGGGTCCTTTTTCCAGCCATCACTCCCCAGCTGTGTGACCGAGACAAAGTTGGTGCCTGCACGCCTACGTTCAGCACCAAGGTGACCTTTCCTGTCTCCTGGTGCCCAAGCATGTCTCAAGGATAAATAGGAAGTTCCATTACTGCAGGACACAGCAAGGGTACTTTACATGACAATCAGAAATGATTTATATCTGAACAGTGCGACCCATAGTTTTTTTTGGACAGACATCTTTCCAAAAATACACATAACAACAAAGGGGACAGATAAGTAGATTAGGAGCACACTGCTTGGAAGTTGTTGCTTACCATTCTAAAAAGTCCCAGATAAATTATTCATGGAAAATTCAGTATTGTTAAATAAATTCATAAATAGTAGGGGCTGGGCTGACTCCATGCAGTCAAATATCTGCATATAACTTCGACTTCCCCAAAACGTTACTAATAGCCTACGGTTGACTGGAAATCTTATCTATAACATAGACAGCTGATTAACACCTATTTTGTATGTTGTGTGTATTATATACCGAGGTCTCACAATAAAGTAAGCTAGAGAACAGAAAATGTTATTAAGAAAATCATAAGGAAGAGAACATATATTTACGATCATTAAGTGGAAGTGGATCATTGTAAAGGTCTTCATCCTCATAGTCTTCACATTGAGTAGGCTGAGGAGGAGAAAGAAGAGGAAGGGTTGGTCTTGCTGTCTCAGGGGTGGCAGAGGTGGAAGAAAATCTGCATAGAAGTGGACCTGTGAGATTCAAACCCGTGTTTCAATCAAAGGGCAGTCTGATATTTACAAGAACTCCTGAGTTTGCATGGAAAACCTATACGCTATTTCTTTCTAGGTGAGTGTGGGACAGAGGATGAAAGTGTTCAAATGGGGTGGAGAGAATGGAAGCTGGGGAAGGGGGGAAAGTACCCTTTCCATCCCACACACCACACACAAACACACACACACACACACACACACACACACCCCACACTCCATCTCTACAATCACAGCCACCCAAGTGTTACAACTGCAACTGAAGGCAGATGCAGGAAGATCAAGGAAACTGGGATCTGGTGCCCGATTGCTCAAGAGGGGTCAGGGAAAACCCGCAGAACTCCTGAGTCCGAGATTGTGGGAAGGGTTGAGGCGGAGCCTGCGGTGGGGGCTGTCCAGCTGCGGGAGGCAGCTGGCCGACCCTGGTGGGAGGGTTGGGTGGCTGCTTTCACTTTATGAGTCTCGGCTCTGAGTGAGAGTGTCCCTGTTGCGGGAGGACCACTGCGGGCTGGGCGCGGGGCCCCCGCCTCTCCCTCTCCACGCGACCCGCAGCCGCGGTGGCAGCGGCGGCAGAGCCTCGCCCACTCCAATCCCCACCCTCTCCATCCTTAGCCATTAAAGAACGGCAGCGCCTGGCACGTTCTTGGAGGACCCTGGGCGCAGAAGAGGAAAGGGAGCAGGCGCAGGGGGAGGGCTGGAAAGGCAGCATGCGCCCGCCAGGAGCAACCTCGGCGCCCCGCGTCTGAGGCTGCAGCCCCCGTTCGCCATTGTGAGCCGCCGCCGGGGGAACCCGCTGCTGCAGCTTTCCCCCCCACCCTCCGGGTCCCCGTCGGCGCAGCGATGGGGCACCTGCCCACGAGGACGCGCGGCGGCCGCCGCCTCCTGCCTCTGCTCTGGCTCTTTGTGCTGCTCAAGGTAGGGGAGCTCCGCCACCCACCCCTGCCCCGGCGATCCGGGCGGCAGCCGCGCTCGGCGCCCTCGCTCTGCGGTGCGGGAGCCGCGCGCCCCGGGGCGCGATGGCCCGGCTGCGGGAAGCGCGCGCCGAGCAGCCTGGGCGCACGCTTTGTTGTCCCTGCGTGTGCGTGTTCCCGGTGGCCTTGAGGGATGCGGGTGGCAGAATAAGGGAAGTTTGCTCCCTCCAGCTTTCGCCCTTTGTGCTCTTTTACCGCCGCTGATATCCACGCCAAAGGTGGGCTTGTCGGATAGTGCTGTCTCAGGCAAAATGAGGTCACTTTCCTTTCTGGTCTCTACTGCACCCCAACGCCGCTTAACCTTTCCGCCCTGCCCCAGCGGAGCGTGCGGCTGCTTTGTCTTAATTTACCTTCCGCGGGAATTATGCACTGGGGGAGGGAGGAGGAGGCCTGAGCTCCCTGGCCACGAATGGACTGCCAGGGCTGGGGCGAGGGCAGGATTGTCTTTGAATAAGGAGTGTCGGGTTGAGCCTGGAGTGGATTCCTCTCCCCAAGTCCTGTCTCCACCCGGAGAATTCCTTTTAAAAAGTCTCCAGACTTTCTCCACTACATTTACAGAGCATGCTGCCTCTAAATCTAATGGTAGGAAAATATATATAATTAACTTTTTCCTGTCTTCTTTGGAATGTGCTGCCTCGGGATTTTACTTTGAGAAAAATGAAAAGGAAAGCGACTGCTTTTAAAAAATCACTTTGACAACGATATCGTAGATAAAATTTTTGAGGACACGTGTTTTCTTGGAAGGCGGTGTGAAGTTATGAAGTGATTGTCTGCCACTCGTGTTTTCAGTGGGTCTACTTTAGTTCTGTCACCCGTCCTTTCCCTTATCGCAAAGCAAACTCGGGAATGTCGACAGGTGACCCGGAGCTATCCTTTCAGCACCACAGTGACACCTACCCTAGAAATGGATGAAACGTTAATGGAAGCAAATGTTTTCATATTAAAGAGTCACTTCTTTCTTATACGCACCATTAATTATGAATGCCTGACAAGACTGTAGCGGAACAGGACCAGTGGATTAAGAACAGCATTGATTTTAAATACTTCATATTTTCATTTATCTTAATGGAAAAAAAAATAGTTTCAAGGGGAAACAGCAACAGAGTGCGTAAGTAGGAGTCTAATGACATTTAATAGGTTTTTGCACTATCTCTTAAGTTATGAATAATCATTTTATTTTTAAAATATGGTGACTAATAAGCTCAGTCCTATGTTTTCACTCCAGGAGATTGTTTTTGAGTACACATCACAAATGTATTAGACTTACTAAGTTGGCTATTAGTCATTTTTTTGTTTGTCAAACTCTGTCATGACTATTATAGCTATGCAACACTTGTCGTGAACCCAAAATGAGAAATCAAGTCATCATACATTTTACTGAGTAACAGCTAAGAATTATATGCATGACATCTGATCCAAACCTAACCATTGGTACAACTGCAGTTTTTTACTTGAGTTCTCTATAATGGATGAGAATTCCAGAAGTGAAAGAATGATTAGTTTGGAAGTGGGGATAGAGTGTTGCAATTAAAATGCAAAAAATATGGCAAAAGTTTGACTCAAGACTCAATATTGGAATGAGAAAATGCAGTCAGCAATGGCATAATAGTACCGTTAGTGACTGTAATAGAGCTCCACCCTCTTTCACATAATAGGTATATTTGTGAACACTTGCAGGTAAAGTCAGTTATGGTAAATTGCATCACATAGTAAACACATTGACAAAGCTTGACATTTAAAGAAGTATTATTGTAATGAGACAAATAATTTTGTAAGAAAAATCGCTACTTTTTATTTTATGTGAATGCAATATTTTTTTGCCACCCAAATATAAAATATGCCAGAGGAAGGAAGAAAATTATATGTGTGTATATATATATATAAAATACCCACTAGGTGACAGTCTTTCAGATATTCCACATGTGTTATTTCATTTAATCATACTTTGCTACAGTTGGCAAGAGATGTTCAAAGTGGCAAATTGGGCACAGAGCATAATATCTTACGTTTAGGAGATAGTATATTACATGTTGTATTTGAAATATAGTAAAATCTCTATAATTTGGAGATACTTTTGAATTCAAGGTCCTGAATAAGTGCCAGTAAAATGGTTCTACCATTAAGGTGGTGACAGGAATGTGGAAAAATCTCGTTATTAAACACCAAATTGTCAATTGGATCTCAATAATAAAATCTAAAAAGGTCCATGAGTGCTGAGTCAGAAATAAGCCATTCTCCCAACTTCACCACCCCCCACAAAAAAAACCTCCACAGTTTTCCTTGTGATCAACACTTTTTTCTTATTTCTACATGAGTATTCTCCATATAAATGAAAATTCCTGAGGACTATAACTCAGATAAATTCAAGTATGAGGCTAAATTTATAGTTTTACATTTTCCACAAGTCAAAAAGAAGCACCTGAATATAAGTGATAGGAAAGTATGAACGTTTGGATCTGTATGAATGGCTTTAACCAGTTTCATTGAGGGAGCCTAAATGTGACTGGCCATAAAGGTCTTTGTGCATCATTCCTTATCCGTGGATTAGTGATGGGCACCTATAATCAGGCGTCTCACATTTTCTGAGTCATCCACTACATATTATGAAGCTAACATCTGCATAACTGATGTTGAATAAACACTGGATTGGTCATGCAAACTTTTAATTTTATACCAACATCGATAGTATATGTGTGTGTGTGTGTGTGTGTGTGTGTGTGTGTGAAACATAGAAACAAAAATGGAACTCTGTTATCAAATGAGAATGTACCAATCTCAAAGTCTTCCATCTAGGACTGCAAATGGTGAGTCTCCCTCTTGTGCGTCTTCCCATAACTCCCGGTAAAAACAATGTAACTTCTCTCACCTATCCTAGCTTTACTAAACCTCTCCCTGAAAATGGCTTCCTGTGTCAGTTTACTCAATATCAGTACTTTGCCAACTAAGACGCACATTGTAGAATATGACATCATAGGAATTTGAAATCTGCCTTCCCTGAAATGTTGCTTATTGGTAGTCAACTGGAATGTTTCCCTAAACATTGGCATGTATCTTTTCTTTTTTGATCCCCTCTCTATATTTCCTTTCATTTCTGCTTCTATCTGAGATATCATCAAAGAACATTAAATTTGAAAGGGGCCTTAATATTGTATTTTCCAAAAGAGATTTACATTCCATTCTGTAAAGTATGAGTGTTTTGATACTCGCCATTCTACTAATATTCAAGAGAAATATTCACTTTCCATGGTTTGTCTGCCTTTCTCAACTTCCCTGTGTTTCTCTCTCCCCTTCTCTCTCTCTCTCTCTCTCTCTCTCTCTCTCTCTCACACACACACACACACACACACACACACATACACAAAGAAGTTTTACTTTCTGTGTTGAGGTTTCATCCATATATTATTCAGTGTTGGCAGGTGAACCATGATCCTTTCATTTCTCTGAAGCAGCCTAGATCCTTCTCCTCACAATGAAGTTTCCTGCCCTTAACTCTTCTGTTAACTTACTCTTTCGAGAAATGATATTGCCAACCTTTTAGAGAAACCCTTTTACATGTGACATCCCCAGTAGTTGACAAAGGCTCACTGTGCCCTGCTACTACAGGTGATTGAGTGATAATTCTTCCCACTGTGAACATGTTTGCTTTTGTTCTTCGTTCTATGAAAGACTATTGCATGAAAAATAGAAAATTTACACTATACCACTGCCTCATTTTGGCTCCAAAGAAAATGCATATCTATAATATATGCATAAGTGATTAAAAACAATATGAGCTGTACTTTATATTAAAATGTAGCATTATTTCTAGTATCTAAATATCCAACTTAAAGATATTTAAACGTATAAGCAGACTGGCTGCTGAATCTTATGAATATAATTCCAACTTGATTCTGCAGGCTTTGCAAAAAGATCTTTGGTGTTGGGTACAGCTGGTGCACCTATATGCAACCTTGTCGTTAGTGGCAGTGTGGCACAGTAGAAGGCTTAACAACAATGACCACAGATATCTATTTCTCATTTTCTTCTTTATTTAATGCTTCCAGGTACACAGTCCCAGTGATGTCATATTTTCAGAAGCAGTGATGAGCTTTACTGGAAAACACTTAGTGTTTTTATCTAACCACCCCAAGCATTTTGTATGTATTTTTGAAATAAAGGAATGTCCATTGTAATTTTCTGTCTTCCACTGTGCTTAGTATGTAGTATGAAGTATATAATAGAAGCTTAGTAAACAAGATTTAAATTTTCTGCATTTTGTAAATAGCTTCTGATTGAGAATTGTGAAATATTATGAACTCATCTTTAAGGAAAACATGAGATGATTATCATGTGAGTTAAATAATCATATTACAACACACTCATTACACTAAAAATAGTAAAAATTTTACCAATCACTTATATTAGGATCTTATTAAAACTAAAAATCAAAGTACCAATGGGTTATTTTTTCCAAAAATTTAATACTCCCAATTGCTCACTTATTCATAATCTTGCTTCTCATGCTGTTGAATGTCATCATTTGAAAAGTAGCAATTGACATATTAGGGTAAATGGTTTTTTTTTTAACCTGTACAGACCTTCGACTTCAGCCCAGACCCAGATACACAGGTATTTGTCACCTGTTCCATATCGCCACTCTCCTATGACTATAACCAACAAGAAGTGATCAAGATTTCTGCATTCCTAGGAGAAGTCCCTCTAATTTTTTGCCAGAACATTGTCTTTAACAGACGAAAACTTTTCTATACTCTGATCTTGGTCGTACTTATGGTGGTGTTTAATATAGGGTCATATAAACCAGTGTCTTACAGAACTCTTCTAGAGTGGCCTTAAAGACTCATTGGTATCTGCTCTTTTTGCTTAAATAAGTACGCAAGAGATGTTTTTGTTCACTAACATTATTGATTTGAGGAACCCAAAAAAGGTTAATGTGGCTTGAGTAGA